GGCACTCAGGAAAATGAGTCATAAAGAGCAATGCCTGAAATTCTGGGATTTGGGGTCTCTCTTCTGAACCCCCAGACACAAGAGTCACGGCCTTATAGTTCCCATCCAAGTGTGGCCCCAATTTTAAAAACTGTGACTCACACTTTCCTTTTCTCTCCTCCTGCTAAAAGGATGTCTCTAGAGGGCTGGGGCACCTTCACTGCCCTCTCAAAACTGCCCCTGTCCCTGTATACAAAGACACCCCGGCCTTGGTCTTGTGGGAGACAGCATCTTGCTGAAATTGAAAAGCTTCAGAGTAATTGATGCTGTTCACAGTGTACTTGCTTTTACAGTGACCTTTGATCGAAGACACCCATAGTGCTTTGTCATTTTAGAGTCATAACTTAAAGCCTCCTTTTAAAACAATGTTCAAGCTTCAAAAAGTAAGTTCAGTGAAAGAAAATCTCAAGTGATAGGCAGATGGGCCTGGTATGCTGCAAAAATTCCCTTGCTGCAGCAAGGACCGTGGCTAACCCATCTCGGGGTCTCGGAGCCTGTCCGAGCCCTTGGGGCTTATCCCACGTTTGTCTGGATGGAATTAAACGAGTAAATTGGCAGCAGGCACTGGCTCCAGGGCCTGTCTGACCAAACAAGATGTGGCTCCTCCCTCTCCTGCCCCCCTGGCAGAGAAGACCTCAACCCCTGTTGCTCCCATGGTCATCAGGACACAGGGATTTTCCAATTACTCTGAAAATATATTGAGGACATTGACTGACCAGCGTGCCCTGGAACCAGTACCCCTGGGCACTCGACACTTGCAGCAACAACTCAGGGAGGTGTGTCAAATGCACACAGGGAAAGGCGAGATGAACAGACAGCCCCCCATCCCCCTTGCAATGAGGAACCAGGACAAGCCCAGATTCTGGGCTGCGTCCCGCACTGATTCTCTCAACCAGACCCTAATTAGGATGGACGGCTGTTCTCCACCCCGAGACTGGAAGAAAGCCTGGAATGATCTTAGTTGAGAAGTCTCCAGCCCCGAGAACCATCAGAACTGCCGCATGGATGAGCAGAAAATAGCAGATGATAAATTTTTTAGGACCACCCTCTGTGTGCCAGTTGTAGCAGACTGTGAGATAATGTGCTGGCCTTTTTGGGAACATGCATTATTGATCTGGGTCTGTCTAGAGGTTTATAAAAAGCCCATCACCTCCCTGCCCGCCCCCCCTTCCCAGCCCTCACCTCCGGAAAGAAGCATAGCCTTCTTTAAAGGCTGGTTCTGCAGTTGGAGGGGCTGGCTTGGTGGTGGAAGGGTGACTGCAGGCACTGATCTGGGCAACTGAGAGCTCCGGGCTGGTTGCTGACAGATGCCACGGAACACAAGGGCTCCAAGCCCACCACAGCACTTCCTGGAATTTCTCTTTCAGAAACACTCACTCATGCAGGCAAAGAGGCGTGTATAAAGCCATTCCCGGCAACAGCAGTGGAAACTAACTAATATACACACTAAGACTCTAGAAAGAACTGGAGAGCCATCCCCGGGGAGTGGTTAAGAGCCGGGGTGGAGAGCACGGGGTTCAAATTTTGTTTAGCCGTGTTCTAGCTGTGTGACCTTGGACAAGCCACTTCACTTCTGTGGGCCTCCATCTCTCCATCCATAAAATCTATGCATTTAAAATGAGCTAGATTGGGCCTCCCCGGTGGCGCAGCGGTTGAGCGCTGGGTTGCGAAGCTGCCCGCAGCCTCTGCAGCGCTGGTTCGATTCCAGGCTGCTCCCGGCCACCGGAGGAGGGTCCCACATGGCGCGCAGACCTCTCCTGCCGCCCACTGCTCCCCTCAGCAGTGTACTTCGGTCCTTCTGCCTGCTCTGCTCCCCGCTCTGGCTCTGGTGAATTCTCTCACCCTCCCGCACTTCTGACTGTACCCAGTGCTTGTATAAATAAATAAATAAATCTTAAAAAAAAAAAAAAGCAATGGAATGTTTAAGAAACCTTTAAAAAATAAATAAATAAAATGAGCTAGAGTTTTTTCTCCTCTCCTTTCTCCAGAGTCCTCATCATGCTCAGAGCACCTTATATTTGCACAGTCTGTTGGTTTTATTCAAGAGCCACAGGTACAAACTTACAAGCAGATTCTGACACGAGGCTTAGTTGGATAACGTGGCTGCAATAAAATGTGAGGTTCCTAAGAGCGTGTATTCACTCACTCAACTGGATTCCGGCCCCAAATCTAGAAATTGCCCTTGAGGATCTTCTCCTTAACCCCCACATCCAACCACTAATGTCTCCCCCATTCTCTTGCTTCTGGCTGGACCAACGTCCATCACCACCTGCCCAATTACAGCCCTGGCCTTCTGATGGGCCCTGAGTCTGCTCTGACCTCCTGCAACCTAATTTCAACACATCAGTCAGAGAGATCCTGTTGGAACCTTCCACAGGTGTGCAGAACTGGCCCCAGGCACTTCTGGCCTCATTGCTCTCCACTCCCTCATATTCTTTCTGTCCCGAGATACCACTCCAGCTGGGCATCTCTGCTGTCCTGTGCTTTCTACCTGGACCCATCCTTTCTCGGGTCTCCAGTTCCCAGCACAGAGTCGATGCTTAATAAATATCTGTTGAACATATGGATGCCTGTCCAGGGGGTTCAGAATTCCCAGGCATAACTATGATCTAAATGGCTTGAGGACCACGCAAGGCAAGACGGAGGGGTTCTGAGGTCCAGGGGCTGCCTGTGATGCACCCATCTGCAAAATTCTGCCAGAAACAAAACCCATGGCCCCCTGGCCAGTCTGCAGACTCTCCATGTTTATCAAACGCGGCTCCTGCTAAATGCTGCCCAGGAGATAGGTATCACATGTGTCAAACTGTCAATAAAAGCTCTGAGCTCTGATTGCTTCCTGGCTGCAAATTCTTTTTGTGCTGATAAGCTCTCTGAGAAAAAATCTATACTTGTGATCAGTAATACGAATCATTACTAGGAATGACATGGACTTAGAGAAATCAATTTTTCTTGGCAGTTAAAAGACTGATTCATATTTTTATGACAGGATCCAAAAAGGGCACAGATGTACAGGTACATCTTCACCACTGTCTTACATTTGGTTGCCAAGGTGCATTACCCAAGAAACCTTTAAATGTGTTGCCCCAAATAATATCCAGTTGTCCTTTTAAGTGGCTAAAAGCCCACCACTCATCTGATCAACTTTCCCATAACCTACGAGAGGTTCCAAGATCTGGCTCCATCCTGTCCTTGCAGTCCTCTATTCTATGTCCTTTCCCTGGGTTCTGGCCTTTCTCTGGGTTCTGATTCTGCCTCGGGGCCTTTGCATATACTCTTTCCCTCACCTGAAGGCTTAACCCCAGATCCTCAGAGTGCACGGTGTACTAAGATGAGCACAGAAATCAACATCTAAAGCTATAAAGCTGTGTTGTCTAATAAGGAAGCCACAAGCCTCACATGGCAACCGAGACACTTTCCAGTGGCTTGTCTTAGTTAAGGTGTGTTCTGAGTATAAAATACACACCAGATGCTAAAAACAGTAAGCGAAATGAAAAGAAAGACTTCATTAATGATTTTTTTTTTTTGTGGGACCCTCGCCAGTGGCCGGGGACCGAACCAGTGCTGCAGAGGCTGCAGGCAGCCTCGCAGCCCAGCGCTCAACCGCTGTGCCACCAGGGGAGGCCCTGTATTAATGATTTTTATATTGATTACATGTTGAGATGGAAATAATTTGGGTGTGATGAGTTCAAGTGTTTTTAAAATTAATTTCACCAGTTTATTTTTACTTTAAAAAATGCAGCTACTAGAAAACTTGAAATTACTTATTTTAAGTACTTGCATTAGTGGCTCACGTTATATTTCGGGGGTGGGGCACTGGTCTAATGTGGAGGAAAAAAACCTATGCAGATGAGTGCATGGAAGTTGGGGAAGACACAAGACAAGGAGGAAAAGGAACAACACTCAGAGTGACCCTCCTTCAGGGGAGCTGGAAATGTAAGTGGGGTTGGACTCGGGGGAGCTGCTGAGATGGACTCAGGAGGCCTCATTTTGGGGGGCTGCATTTGTGGGCTCTCCTATTGTGAGTGAAAATATGGTTAGAAAAGCCTCATGCAAGTGAAGACCCCACAATTCAGGAGAAGACCCTGGTCGGACTTAGGAGGTGGAGGAGTCTAGGAGGCTTTTCATAGGGAGTCAAGTATGTAGTGCAGGGGTGGCTTGACCTTCACAAGGTCAAGGAGAACCCAGGGAAGGTGCCAAGGCCATGAGCTGGCGAAGGCCCTGAATATAGTGGCTATGGCCCCTGGTCATTGGTGGCCATGAACTAAACCTGTCCACACCTGCTCTCCCTGGAGCTCAGCACTGCGAGGGTCGATGCTCAGGACCAGAGGTGGCCAAGCTCACCCTCCGTCATCGTCATGTCTAGGAACTGCTCAGGTCACTTCCCGGAGGGCCGATGCCTTGTCCCTGGATGCCACCAAGGAAGGCTGAGCCCAGCAGCAACTGTTAAGATTGGAGGGCAGGAGTCCACCCCATTAAATCATTAATGCCGTCGGGAGCCTGCACTCCCACCCAGCAGAGTTCCCTGCCATTCCCCCAGAGCCGTGGCCTTTCTGGCATGGATCTTACAGAACTTGCAAATGTGCTGCATATCTGACTCCCTTAGGCTCCGTGAAAGCGGGGAAGGTGCCTGTCTCACTCATTACAGAAGGCCCAGGCCCTAAAATATTGCCAGACACACAGCAGGTACTCAAGAGGAACTGGATGAAAAGAATAAGTTGGTTTGAATGCCTCTTCTCCTTGAGACGATGGAGAAACCCAGGGACAGCGCTGCATTGGGAGAAGGTTGGGGACCGCGGCCAGCCGTCTCCCCGGGGCCACCTGGCTGTGTTGGTGGCAGCACGAGACCAAACCAAGTGGAAGTGGCCTTCCCAGGTCTGCCTGGCCCTGTGCACTGGGAGCTGAGTGGTTCTGGTGCTGAGGCCGTCCCTCCAAACCCCCACTCTCCCCGCCCAGGTGCTTACCGAGCTCCACGTCTTGGTCGTCTGTCAGCACCAGGATGATGTTGGGGCGGATGTTCCTGCGGTCCCGCTGGAACCTGCCTTTCAGGCGGTGGTGGGATAGGAAGGCCGAGCCTCCGTGCAGCAGGGAGAGAAGCAGCGGGGACAGCAGGCACAGCAGGAGGCCCGGGGGCGCCATGTTCTGTCTGAGCCGATCGGGGCTTCCCTCAGGACGCAGGAATCTGAAGCGGCCTTTCGGATCTGGTTTCTCTGCTCTCTTCCCGCTCGACTCACAGATCTAGAGGAGGAAAGAATCCGGTCAACTTTATGAACAGGCTGCCCAAGTGCTTGGACACGCGTGATGACCGCCTAGCGGCTTTGGGCCTCTCTGAAGAGGGCTGTGATGGCAGCGGGGGGACCGAACTCGGCTACAGTTACAAGAAAAGTATTTGCAACTGCTCAGCTGGCAGGCTGGGAGGAAAGGCCCTGGAGGCCAGCTCTGCAGACAGCCGTCTCCCCGGGGCCACCCGGCTGTGTTGGTGGCAGCACGAGACCAAACCAAGTGACCGGCCAGGCTCGGAACTGTCGGCCCAGTTCACCGACAACAGAGAGGACAGGAGGCCGGCGTGGGGGCTTCTCCTGGTCTCTCCTGTCTGCAGTGGGGGATGCAGGGGTGGGCGGGATGCAGTCAAGCTCTCAGGTCAAGTGGGGTGCAGGGTAGGTCTGGACCTGGAGGACGGTGGCGTCTGCCTTGGGTGAGCTACTTATCCTGGGTCTCCGCCCACCTGCCCTCCACCCCACAGCCCCTCTTCCTCAGCAGTAAGCCAGGGAGGACGCTCGGTGTCCTCGTGAAGAGAACGGGGACACGTGGCACAGAAGGCCCCTCCGTCCAGCGGGGATGCCCTGAAGGCCTCCAGTCCAGGGATCCCATAGCCGGGCACACTGTTCATGTTGGTTTTCAGTTGCGGAGTTAAACAAAATGACAGAAGAGAGAACTGAGGGCTCCAAAGTTGAGGGCTAGATTCCGCTCGACCTAGGTCGCCCCGCCCCGGGGTCGGACGGTCACAGCTGTGGCGGCCGAGGGCAGCGGGATGGGCCCCTGGCTCGGGCAGCGCTCCCTCTCACGCTGCTCTTTGCTCTCTGCGGTCATTTTTCTACTTCCTGGGGAAATGAGCCTTCAAGTCCTGTCCAGATATAGACTCTGGGTCTCATCTATTTAAAATGAGCAAGAGAAAGGGCGCGAGCAGATCTGTTGGGAGGAAACCAAGTTTGCTGGAGACGGGCTGAGTCACCTTCCCCGTGACCTTGAAGGAGTAAGCCTGCCCCTGCTGTCACGGGGAACCCCAGCCTCTACCCTGACGTCAGGGCTCAGAGGGGGTGTGCTGCCGCGTCACCTCTCCTGGCAAGTGCAAAGCACCTAAGGCGGGAGGGTCTCCCCCTGCCCCCATTCTTTTTTTTTTTTTTTAAAGATTTATTTATTTATTTATACAAGCACTGGGTACAGTCAGAAGCACGGGAGGGTGAGAGAATTCACCAGAGCGGGGAGCAGAACAGGTAGACTGACGAAGTACACTGCTCAGGGGAGCAGCAGGCGCGGCAGGAGAGGTCTGAGCACCATGTGGGACCCTCGCCGGCGGCTGGGGATCGAACTGGCGCTACAGAGGCTTTGGGCAGCTTGGCAGCCCAGCACTCAATCGCTGTGCCACAGGGGAGACTCCCCAGGCCCCATTCTTCCCAGGACAGCCAGCAGGATGTTCCTATAATGGGAATCCATCTGATCACTCAGGGGGCTTGGCCTACAGCGAGGCCAGAGCAGAACTCAGGGCACAAAACTACAGGGGCTCTTACTCCAGGTTGTATAAGTGCAAGGCTTCACTATAGCCTCATCCTGTCATTCACCTGGACAGACCCGCCGCTGGCTCCACCAGGCTCAGGGAAAACATACCAGGCTCACCAGAGCCTGCTGATCCAGTCCCTGCCCACCTCTCCCAGGTCTTCTCAATCACTCTCCAACCACATGAGCTGCTTTCTGCTGCTTGGACAAGTCAAGTCCATTCCTACTCCAGGGTCATCTCTTCCCAGATTCTGTGTGATGGGTGAACTCCCCTCCGCCAAGTCTTGGCACACAGGTCACCTCCTCGGAGAGGCCTGCCCTGACCTATCTAAGGTGGTGCTGACACTCTTGGGATTTTATAACTGGTTTTATTCCCCTCATAGTCCCTACCACAACCTGCAATTACCTGATTTACTGCCCAGTTCTCCCCATTAGAGACTGGGTTTGTGCTCCTTCCCCAGTGCCTACTTGCATGTCTGGCATATATTTGGATAACTAGAGATGGAGGTTTGGTTAAGGTCTTGTGAGCGCTGCAGAACTGGGGAGGCTGGCTGGGCAGGGCTGCACCACAACCTGGGTCTAGAGGTCAGAGGCCTCCCTCGCTCTCCCCAGGAACCCTCCCCAGTCACCAGGAGGAGTCGGGACTCTGAGTTCTCGGGCATGCTGTGACCGAAAAGACCCCAGGAAGTATCCTGGCTGGGCTGCTCTTGGTTGGTTCTCCCTGATCCAGCCCCACTGGCTTGGGGCCCCAGAAGTCTGGGCCTGCAGATGAGGGCCCTGACTTCTGGCCGGGTCTGTCGGAAGCAGCCTGCTGGGTGGCTGCAGGGCAGGAGGCGGCACACAGTCAGCTATGACCTCTTCTGTCCCCTTCCTTGCGTGAGTGGCTCCCAGCACCTTTGTTACTCGTGTCCAACGGCCACCACTCCAGTGGGTTCTGACTTCCCCCCAGATCTGAGGGCATCTCGCCCTCCTTTCACCCCTTCAGCTAGTTCTGGGGCGCTGGATCATTCCTAGTTTGCTCCCTTAATCCTCTGCCCCACCTCTGAAATTTGTGTTCCCTCCCCCATCCCCGTCGACTTTCCCGGGGAGGCTGAGGGCAGGAGTGGCCTTGGCGGGCTCTCCCCTCCCCGGGGCCCTCTGACTGGACGTGAGTGCAGAGACAAGGCTTGCCAGAGAGCAGGGGAGCTGACCGGGAATTGAATGCCACAGGCCAGGAACACCCCCTGCGCCTCCTCCTCCATCTCCTGCTAAAGCTCCCACCTCATGGCAGCAAACGGAGTCTCGGCACCTGCTTTGTGCCACACGCACGTGGTGCTGCCCCATGGGCTCGGCAGTGACCTGCTGCGTGGCCCTGGGCAAGTAACCGAGCACCTCTGAGCCTCAGTTCCCGGAGAGCCGAGATGCGGACTCCACGTGGGTTGACTGGGACACCCCATTCACCGTGCCAGCCGCCGGGGGACCATCGTCACGCTCAGTGCAGCCAGCCCTGTGCCGTGCCGCCGGCAGGAATCCCCTCAGCCACACTCACACAGCGACCAGCATCCCCATCGACAGCGGAGAACAACGAGGCTTCATCACTGTCCCCAAATCGCCCAGGAACCAGCTCAGATGGGGTCTGAGCTCTGCCCCCGGCCCACCAACTCAGGGTGAGCGCCTCGCAGCCCCTCACAGCTCCTGGCTTCTCCCCGGCCCCGCCCGCTGCGATCTGTTTCATGTGCTTTTTTGAATGGCCTCATTTAAAAATAAAAACACACAGATGTGTTTTTTAAAAAGAAAACCTTCTCACCAAGGGTAACGGGGAACCGGCAGCCCTTCCATCAGGACGACCAAGCGAAGTCGCTGCGGACACGGTCCTGCAGCTCCCACAGTTCAGACGCTCGGCTCCAAGCTGCACCCTGTCCCGCCTTGGCAGTGGCTGTCCTTTTGAGGGGGGTTGGCAGGGGCTGAGAGGGCCAGAGCACATCAGCACCAGCCCGAGACTTTCTGCCGGCGGCCGGGAGCTGACACGGGGGCAGCTCCAGCCATCACATTGGTCCCTGAATTACCCCACATCACGGGGCTGTTTATCAGTCTGTGCCTCCCCTTGAGAAACACTTGCACTTGAAACTGTGCTTGAACCAACGCGCCCACCGGCTCCCTGAAAGGCACATTCCTGCTCCTTCACACAGACGCAGAGGGACTGAACAGCGCGGAGGGAATTTCCTAGGGAGGCCCACAACCAGCAGCTCCTCCCCCAGACACGACCCTGTTCTGAATACCACAGCCCAGCCGTGGACCCAGCTTGCAACGCTCCCGCCCCGGCTCTGTGCATTTTGCTTTTAGCTCATTTAATCTGCATCTCCACCCGCTGGCATCACATTCATTTTCTGGATGAAGGAGCTGAGGTAGAAAGAGTTACCCCTACCCATGATCACACGGCGAAAGAAGGAGCAGAGAAGGGGCTCGAACCCTGTCAGGCTCGAGTCACCCACTCATCCAGAGTCTCCTGCAGACAGGTCTCTGAGCAAGTTGCTGAGAGCGCCCCAGCCCGTTTCCTCACTTGCCAAATGAAGCAGCAGGTGGCCATGCACCCCCTGAGGACCTTTCTGGCTCTGGGTACATGACATGGAGGAAGCAGGAGAGGCGGGAGTCCTGGCCAGGTGGGGGGTGGAGACATGGTTAGCCAAACTCCGTTCCTGGCACCCCTGCCGGTCTGCTGAGTGTGCCCCACCACGCTCCAGGCAGCTGTACCCCCCACCCCCCACCCCCCGCTTCCCCCAGCCAAGATGCTCTTCCTCTGGACGGCAGTCAAAGCTCTGTGACCAGTGACTGGAGAATAACAGGAGCTAATTATTTCATCAGATCAAGTCATCAGTGGGCTGATCTTTGATGAATTCCCTCGGCTCTGGCTTCTCCTGGACCTGTGCCAGCCTCAGTCCGGATGCTGAAGAAATCAATTAAAAATGACACAAGGGATTCTGCCTCCATTTCCCCCCCTCCTTGGTAGAAGATTCAAAGTGGTTGAACCGAGACGGCATCTGGTGAGTCCACACAGCACTGGCCGACCGACATTCCGTCCATCCCATGTGCACCTCCTCTCACCCCCATCAATTTGCTTCCAGGTCCCCTGGCTCCTTTTCATCCTGAGCAAAGGCGGCCTGTCCCAGTAAGATGCTGGAAACGCCTAAGTCCCAAGTGTTCAGAAACATCACTCCTGCTTCTGGAACTCTCTGTAGTTCTGCAGAGTGGGGAGGGCCCTTGGGTGACTGCTGACCCCAGCCCTCAAACCACGGCTTCAGGAAATGCTGGGGGCCTCACCAAGCTCTGGCTGGAAAGACCCAGATGGTGGTTCTCCTCTGAGGATCCCAATCCACCCAGAGTGGCCGAGAGGAGTTGGGGATCCATCAAGAAGCTAATGGGGTGTGAGGGCAAGAAGTGGCACAGGCAGAGCAAGGCATTGATCAGATGGGGAAAATGGGATGAGC